CAGGAACTGTTGTAAGCACCTAAATACGTTAAATTTAATTTAATCCTCACAACAACCCTTTGAAGTAGGTACTATTACTAGCTTATTCCAAACCTGTTGCTGTCGAGTTGATTCCAACTCATAGCAACCTACAGGACTGAGCAGAATTGCCCCCTAGGTTTTCCAATGAGCGGCTGGTGGATCCGAACTGCCAACCTTTGGTTCGCTGCCGAGCTCTTAACCACTGCACCACCAGGGCTCTGCTAGCCTGCTATCGATGATGAATCTGAGACACAGAGAAGCTAAACAATTTGCCCAAGATCACACAGCTCATAAGCATCCCAGGAAGGATACAATCCTAGGCAATCTGGCCCTAGAAGCCTCTCTGCTTAGTCTCCTGGAGCCTCAGTTTCATTGTCTGAAAAATGGCTATGTGATTCCTAATTTAGAGAGTTATTTTGAGGATGAAATGAGGGAACACATGTAAGACAACCTAACAACTGTTATTTTAATTAAAATATTTTTCCCCCCTGGGCTTCTATTTCTTCAACTTTAACCAAGAGTCTGCAGTTTGGGGCTCCCTAAGATCTCTCTGGGAGCCCTGATGGCACAGTGGTTAAGAGCTTGGCTACTAACCAAAAGGCCAGCAATTCAAATCTACTAGCTGCTCCTTGGAAACCCTATGGGGCAGTCCTACTCTGTCCTTTAGGGTTCCTATGAGTTGGAATCAACTCAGTGGCAACAGGTTGGAAGGTATCTCTGAAGGAGCCCTGGTAGTGCAATGGTTAAAACATTTGGCTGCTAATCAAAAGGTAAGGTCACTGGTTCAAACCCACCAGCAGCTCTGCGGGAGAAAGACCTGGCAATCTGCTCCCATAAAGATTAAGGCTTAGAAAACCCTATAAGGCAGTTCTACTCTGTCATACAGGGTCACTATGATCAACTCAACAGCCCACAACAACAAAGATCTCTTCTGGCTGGGAACTTCCATGATTCTGAGAGGTGGGCTGCAAAGTTAGAGTGGGCCTAACGCAAAGGAGCAAGATGGGGTGAGTGTGAAGGTGGGGGTGGGATGCATCAAAACATCAAGCGAACAGAGGATGAAAAAACTGGACGGTAGGAGTGAGTGTGACAAGTTCGAGACCGTCCCATTTCCTAACTTGGGCCCAGAGCATCCCTTCTGTGTTCCCAAATAGCTGTGAAGTTCAAATAACAGACTCCAACTGACACATAAAAAGGAACACATGTAACCACTTACAGGCCAATTAATATGGGGGCGGGGAGAAAGCCACAGGGGGAGGAGGCCGCTGGGGTTGAAGTGAGCAAAAGAATGCTGGCGGTGCTTCCGGCCCTCCGGCTGAAATGGGCTATTATGTGTCATCAGGAAACTTAAGAGGGGGGAGAAAACAACCCCTGATCAAAGTCCCTTTTGTCAACTTCTAACAGATTAATAGATGACAGATTTTGCACTTAGAGCTCTGCTCAAGGTCAAGGGCAGTGAAACGGGGCTCATTGGGATTTTTTTCTTCTTTAGTTCAGCTGCTGGGCTGCAGAACTTGTCATTCTAACAGCCTGCTGCCTGAGACGGCTGTAAGAACGTCTGCCTTTCCCAGGGCTTTTTGGGGATGACAGTGGGGGCCTCCTTAGTGCAGGCGGGCCAAGTTTCCCCCCAAGCCCCCACCATCACTGCCTTGCTCAGGCTCCTACATGGGGTTCCTCACTCCCTGGAGCCTCAAGCCCATCATAAAAAAAAAAAAAAGTTGCCATTGAGTCAATTCTGACTCATGGTGACCCCCTGTGTGTCAGAGAACTGTGCTCCACAGGGATTTCAATGGCTGATTTTTCAGAAGTAGACCTCCAGGCCTTTCTTCTGAGGTGCCTCCCAGTGGACTCAAACCTCCAACCTTTTCAGTTAGCGGCCAACCGCTGAAATATTTGCATGACCCAAGAACTCCAAGCTCATCCTGTGGTCCCCTAATTTCCTTTTTATGGCCTCATGGTGGTCCTCCACTGACCACAGAAGGAACATGTGGACCTGGCATCTAAGTGCCTCGATGACCCTGCCTCTTCGCCCGTGTTCCCCGTGTCTTTGTAGCAGTCATGCTGGATGGCTCCTGGCTCCCCAAATCATCCTGCTCTTTTACTGCCATGGCTTGGTATGTGATGGTCCCTCCACCTGGGCCCTTCCCTGCCACCCTTTTGTCTTCCTGTCAACTTCACATTCATCCAGCAAGGCTGTGCCACTGTCAACTCCTTTGGAAAGCCTGCTCTCACTCGTCAGAGTCAGGATCCAGAGTGACAACGAGTCTTGCTGGAACATCCATTTATCTACTAGAGGCAGGCCATACCACCCAAGGAAACTCCCTTTTCACCTGATTGGCTGCTAATAGCAGATCTCATCATGGAGGTGATTGCATCATATTGCATTATGGAAGAGCCATCAGTCCAATGTCTGCCAAATCACGGAGAATCATAGTTTAGCCAAGTCAACACATAACACGAACTATCACATTATCTTTATAAATCCAGTCTTTATTTGTCAGTGAGTGAACATCTGAGAATGATAACATCGGCAAATTACATGCTGCAACATTGTATGTAGTACATATTACTGATGATAAGATGTACAAAAAAAACAAAAAAAAGGCTGTACGGTCCTTAAGTGCAATTCGTGGTGAATCAAATACACTGTAAGTCGGAGACTACCTGTAATGGCAGTATCTGTTCATTGGCTCATTGCCCCACCCGGCTGTCTGCAAGGGTGGTATGGTACCTGGCACAGGGTGGGTGTTTCCTGTTATGCAGATGTATGCAAGGCATGGGTGATTCATCAGGGTGTGAGAGATTGTGGAGGCAGACCTGAAGGGGACCCCAATAATTCTCACCTTGGTGACTTGCTTCTACCCAACTGAACATGGCAAAGGTGAGAGGATGTCACTCCTGTGATTAGTTACCTGATATGTTCCGTTACATTACGTTACTTCATACGATCAAGACCCGGCAACATTTCATTCTTTTAGGCATAAGGTCGCCACAAGTGGAAGCTGATTCGATGCCACCTAACAACAATGACGTACAAGATTCTGTCTTCGCAGAAGGGAGTGAGAGGTTCTCCTCCTCGCTGACTGGATGAAGTAACCAGGCATGTTAAAGAAGCCCTCAAGGCAAGGGACCATGGATGGGTGGTTCTAGGACTCAAGGGCAGCCTCCAGCAAACAGCCAGCAAAAGCCAGGGTCTCAGTCAGACAACAGCAAGGGAGTTAATTCTGCCAACAACCTGAGTGAGCTTGGGAGTAGATTTTTCCCTGAGTCTCCCAGTGAGAATGCAGCCCAGCAACGCCTTGGTTGTAGCCTTGTGAGACTGGGCAGAGGACCTAGCCAGGCCGACCCGTGACACCAGACCCGTGGAAAGTGAGATAATAGAAGTGGGTGCTGTGTTAAGTTGCTGTGTTTGTGGTAATTTATTACTGAGCGATAAAAACCAATACAGAAAACAAATCATTCTTCCAGTTGCATTCTTTGGGATCCGGATGACCCAGACATTCCTGGGGAAATTCAGTTCCGCATTTATCAGCTGGTGGAGTCCGTGGGTAGTGCAAAGGTTGGTGGTTCAAGTCCCCGCAGAGGTGCCTTGAAAGAAAGAGCTGGAGATCTACTTTTGAAAAATCAGCCAGTGAGAACCCTATGGAGCACAGTTCTACTCAGACAGGATGGACTTGACAGCAACTGCTTCTTTCTTATCAGCTGATGTGTCAGCTAAAATTTTAACAGCCAACTCTTAGCAAGTTGCAGAGTAGAACTGTGCTCCATAGTGTTTTCATGGCGAAACTTTCAGTTAGTAGGCCCTCCAGAATAAGGACCTAGAAAGTGGGGCCTGTCCCAGGGAGAGACTTAGGAGGCCTAAGGCACACATGGACAGGAAGAGCTCTGGGCCTGAAACTAGGGTCTGGATTCCAGTCTACACACATGATTTGTGACAAGGCTTTGGGAAAGGTAGCCGCCTCCGCTCCCCGGCCTCTATGATCTCTTCTATAACCCAAGTGTTTGGAACAGTTTGAGCTCTATAACTCCCTCTGGCTCTGGCGTTCTGAGTCAATGATGTTAGTTTTGCTAAGGAACTGCCCTGAGCAGTATATTCTAGAATATACTTAATCATTCCCTTGTTTATTCATACATTTATTCATTCAGAATAGATAACCCCTACCTGCAATAATTTTTAGGATTGCTTACAATAAAAGACACATTTAATTACCTTATTAACAACAAAAAAATATCATGAACTAGGGGAGGAAGATACACAGCTATACCAGAATAACAAGCTGAAGCAGCTACCTATTGGCATAGCTCTCCGTCACCACAAACATAGTTTCTGTAAGGAGTGCACGCCATGTCCTTAGGGTCTGACTAACTTTGCCCCTCTTCCCACCCATAGGAGTCACTGGGTGGTGCAAATGGTTAAGCACTCGGATACTAACTGAAAGGTTGTTGGTTTGAACCCACCCAGAATTGCCTCAGAAGAAGGGCCTGGCAATCTGCTTCCAAAAGGTCATAGCCATGAAAACATTAAGGAGCACAGTTCCATATGTCTCCATGAGTCAGAATTAACTCAAAGGCCACTGGCGTGTTCCCGCCCCCCAATAGGGATGGTCACATGGTCCAGGTTTGGCCAATCAGAGTACCCCAAGTCTCTCTGGCTGCTATGATTGGTTCAAAGATGAGCATACATCTCAACCAGGACCAGTCAGATCCCTTCAATAGGACTTTGCTGACAGAGCTGGTGGATGATTCTCTTTCTGCTGAGGTTGCTGGACTCGTAGGATGTGAGTTTGGTGGCTGTCCTGTGGAGGGAGGCTGTCTAGAATCTGGAAAGAAATCCCTGAAATCATGGAGCTCCTGAATCCAGCCAACCCTGAAACCATCTGCACTGTTACTTCCTCCTCACTTGACCTGATCAATTACCTTTTTATTAAAAGTAGTTCGGGTTGGGTGTCTGCCATTTGTAACCAAAAGAGACTTAAATAGTGCTCACTTCAGCAGCACATATACTAAAATTAGAACAATATAGAGATTAGCCTGGCCCCTGTGCAAGGATAACATGAAAATTCATGAAGTGGTCCGTATTTTTAGGCAAACAGTAACACAGGTAGTGAGACTAAATGGATACACCATCCCAAAAGCAAATACTGACAAGCTGGAAGAGACAGGAAAATTGGAAGAATGGAAATGGGGAAACCATGTCGAGAAGGGGAGAGTATGGACACATTGAGGGCTTTGCAACCAATGTCAGAAAACAATTCGTGCATTAATTGTTTAATGAAAAACTAATTTGTTCTGTAAACTTTCACCTAAAGTACAATTAAAAAAAAAAAAAA